TGTTACGTTTCATATTCCCAAGAGCATCACCCCGTCCCCCCCCACTCCCCCTCCCCCCCCGCCCCTTCCATTTGTGCAAGGAAGGCAATTAATTGCCCAAGGTATTTGGCGTTGCCTATTTAAATGCAGCCAGGCTGCAACAGCAGGGAAGTGGTGTACACGTCCCTACAGTGCGGGAAGAATTTGTTAGGCAAGAGTTGCTGCCAGTGAGGCATCACCACGTCCCTGTGTCAGGGAAAGTGCGTGAAAGCCCTGAGGGGATGGGAACACATCCCGCCATAGCAGTACCTCACCTTGGTGCCTTTTCTAAATCAAAAGAGTTCCTCACTGCCGGCACAATGTATAGAAGGAATACGTGATGCTGGCATGTTTGCTTGGGTCACTGCAAATATTTGTCCGCATTCAGTGCATCCGAAGATGCATATGCTGCTTTCCTTTTGGCTCAGTGGCAGAGATTTGGTTACAGCTTCTTTGTGGTAGGAATGTCCAAGCACTCGGCTGATCGCGCTCCTGAGGACTCCTGTTGTATGAGCTGATGTCTCCATCAGATTGCTGTGCTGTAATGTGAATGCAGTCGGAGTATGAGTAACAGCACGGGGATGGGCTGGCAATGTGACGCTATCTGTGAATGGAAACATTTGTTGGATTTGCTTTCTTTTACCTCTCAAATCATACTCTGTTTAAATTACATTTGCAGAGCAATGTACAGCTGTTAAAGGGATAATTTAACATTAGCTGCTGCCTCTTCCTCCCCTGCCCCCCCAAAGCCTGCAGTATTTTTCTTTTTTTTTTTTCCCTAAATACGTGTGTGCACCCATAAATGAGCTGGAAGGGGAGGTGTCACTGAATTGGGCTTGCTGTAGAGTCCAGAGAAAAGCCTTAATGATGAAGAGCTACCGAATTTCTCTAGCATGTTCTCATCTGTCTCAAGAACAGAGGGATGTTGTTCTGTTGTTCAACCTTGAGAAACCAGTATCTTTCATATAGGAAGCTGTCAGGGACACTGTCTTGATGAACATCTGACAAGAAGTCCAAAAATTTGGGTGCTGGGTAATTCCTATGAGGTGCTGCGCAGCTTAATCAAAAGAAGAGTATTTGTCTCTGCTGGTGGAAAACTAAATACAGACAGCTTGGACAGGTTGGCAGGAGGACATTACAAAGCTCTCTCTCTAGGCAAAGATGAGCATGCTAGAGCATTGCGTATCTCAGCATGGAATCAGCTATAACTTCCTTCCTCATTCCTTCCATCAAGGAGACCACTATATGCTGTGTATCAAAAGGGAAGTGGGGCTCCATGTATTTTTAGAGTAAGAGTTTCACAGGAAAATTGAGATGAGATATTTGGAGGTCTAGACTTCAAACCCCTGCTAACAGCAGGGCTAGCTCCAGACCTAGATGAGGCTGCTTGGGGCCTTGGCCAGGCAGTTTCTGACCATCCCAAGGTGAAGAGATTCCCCAGCCCCTACTGAAACCTCTATCAGTGCTGAACTACCTTTAGGGAGGAGGTTTTCCCTTTATCTAGTCACAATTTCCCTTCTTGCAAATTTCATAGGCATTTCATTGTGTATCTGTCAGAAGAATTTGGCTCTCACTTCTCTGTAGCCCTCCATACCAAAGGAAAAAAAAAAAAAAAAAAAAAAAAAAAAAAAAAAAAGCCAAAGAATAATTGGTTACCTCCCAACTTTTGTCTACTCCAGGCTGAAAGAAAAAGCTCTTTCAGCCTCCCTTTGTATGCCACGAGCTCCAGCACCTCACTTATCTCATTCCCTCCCCCACAGGACTATCAGAACCTTTCTCATGCTGTATTTCCCTAAGAAGGCTACATCCCAGTCAGGGCCTCTCTTTTTGCAGGCAGCTGTTTGTCCCCTGGTAGAACTGGAAAGCAGTGGGATGATGTGGCTGGAGAGATCTCAAGGTGGCGTGTCCTATCTCCCTAATCCAAAGGAGGACCAGCTACACCCCAGGACCTGGCTGGGTCACAGATTCCCCAGGTGATATATCCATCCTGAAGAGACACAGCTATAATTCCCTTGGTTTGCCCAAGCCCTTCAATCTGTTGATTTCAAAGGTGAGATAATTTTATTTCCCACGTTCTGCAGCCAGCCCACCTTGGTCTTGCTGCATGAGCACACACAAGCACTCGTGATTCTCTTGTCTGTTTTCCACCTATGCTTAACACTCTGAAAGCATAGGGTGTGACTTGACCTAGCAGCAATTTGGCTGGGAGCATTTATAAGTGGGGAAAAGGAATTGTTGCCCTGGTTCTGCTTCTCTTTTGAACCACCTCTGATGTCTCTTCATAAACTAAGACTGCTGGCCATCTTTCGCTGGCTTCTTGGAATAAACCAAAGCCTAGTATGATTTTCATAAGGTATTGGAGTCTCTGCCAATTCACTTATTGAAATAACAAATGACACAAAAAATATTGATAATTAATATTTAAGTCAAGCTTTTGAACTGAAGCAGCTGACCTGGTTATGGAAGATGATGACATGAAAACCATTTGGGGCTTGACACTGTGGTTATATAAACTTGGTGTCATACGTTACTCATCCAAAAGATCTCGGCAATACTAACCACTGTAGCTGCCACAGAGGTTTTTCCTCAAACCACAAACCTTGGGGATCTGGGTATTTTGTTTAGCATCTAGAGAACAAGGATCTTGACAAGATCTTCGTCCTTCATGAATCATCACTTTGGCCTCTAAGGGTCACACGCACTATGAGCTCGGGACGCAAGGCTGTCAGATCCTAAAGGCGACAGTTTGAAGCAGCCATGACAACTGCAAACGCCACCACCTCAACAGCAATAATAACATTCTGTCTTCTTGTCTGGGACTCAGCTTGGTGAGGCACTTTGTGAAGCAGATAACGCTTACCCCTGTGCTTGGGATCCACAGGGTGTTCTCTTCCACACAGCACCTTGCCAAAACAGTATGGTGAAATGTTTTGGACTGACCACACAAAACCCAGTGAGCATTTCTGCAAACATTTGCTATGGCTTTTTCGGTCTCCCATGACAGATGTGGGAACCAGAGAGTCCTAAGGAACCACAGCACTTCAGGATTACTGCTGGCAGGGCGGAGGGTCCCTGTGAGGGGCAGGACAAAGAAGCAGACTGGGGTGAAGGGTGGATGTGAGAATGAATGAGAGCTAGAGACATGAAGCATGCTGATGTTGTGCAACAGGGTGCTGCACGCCAGTGGGGCTGGCTTGGGAATGAGAAGCACCGAGAGCAACTCTGCGTCCAGGATAAATAGTGAGGCACCAAAATGGCATGGTACCCCTGAAGTGGGTGTGGAACACTTGCATTGGGAGCCATCAGCTTAGAAGGGACATTGCTCTTAATGCTTTTTAAAGCATTGGGGTGAATAGCACTGCTGAAACCCCCACGAGGAGAGGAATACATCTGCATTCAGTGCCGAGTTTGGACGCCGTTCAGTAAATAGTGCTCGGAGCCATGTAACGGACAATGAGAATTGCTGAATAAAAGCCCATGGAGAGCACGCCATCCAGCCTGCTCACTGAGAGGTCCTGCTGAGGAAATATTTTGGGATTATGCTTGAAGGCCACCAGAGTGAAACCTGCCCATCTGCACACTAAGGCTCTCTTATTAAAAAACACAGCCGTGTTCATGTCTGTGACACACAGCTCCAGGTTGCCGTGCCTTCTGCAGCTAAACGGGGCAGGAAGGGCAGCACTTGTAGCATCTCCTCGGCCGCCAGCCCCGCGCTCCGATGGCCGTGCTCCCGCAGCAGGCAGCGAGCGGCTGGAGCTGGATTAGCCCCTTGGCGGGCTGGCCGGGTGACAGAGCCGGCGGGCTCCCCGCTTCCTTCCCAAAGCCATTCCTCCGACAGCAGCTTTTCCAAAATGGCCATCGACGCCATGAACTTGGCCAGCGAGGGGAGGCAGCCGCGTTTCAAGCAGCCGTGGGGGGATGTTTCGCGTTTCTACGGCTGAGCCCCGCCGCTCCCCCGCACCGTGAGCCGCGGGAGGCGGCGGGGGGGGCGATGTGGCGCCGCTCGGGCGAGGCCCGCGCCAGCCGGATCCCGCATCCCGCCGTGCGCGTGTGAGCCGGGGGGGCCGCACGCCGCCGTGTGCGTGTGCCGGGGGACCGCAGCCCGGTGCGGGCAGTGCGGAGCGGCCCCCGCACGGGGCTCGCGCTCCCTTTGTGCCGTTGCCTGGCAACCGGGCGGGGGATGGGAAGCGGGATCGGGGGGATGGATGCGCGCGCGGCCGCACGCCCATGAGCGCCCGTCGGGCGGCCGCCGCCCCCGCCCCCCGGGAGGCCCCGCCGCAGCCCCGGCCGGCCGCCACCCCTCCGCACCCCTCGGTCGCCCTGGGCCCGTCCTGCCAAAAACGCCCCTCCGGGCTCTCTCTCCCCCACTTTGCCCGGCCTTTGTGCCGGCGCCGGGGGCCCAGCGGTGCGGGGCGCGGCCGCGGCCGGGGCGGGGGCCGGGCCGGTTGCTCGCCCCGCGCCCGCGTCCCCTCCTCCCCCGTCCCACGCTGCCCACGGGTGGGTTGGGGGGTGCGGGGTGTGTGGGGTGTTTCGCGGGGAGGGGCGGCGGCGAGCGCGGAGCAGAGGGGCGGGGGAGGGGGCTCGTTCTGGGCCCTTCGGAAATGGGAGGTGGCTAAGGCGGGCAGCGGTGGGAGCGATGGGAGGGCGGCGGGGCGCAGGCGGAGGCGCCTGAGCGCGGCGGGAGAGGGGGCGACACAGCCGCGGGGCGGGGGGGCCCCGCTCCCCGCCGCACCCCCCTCCCGGAGCCGCTGTCCCTGCCGCCGACCGGTTATTCCGGAGCCGCGAGAGGAAACGAGGGAGCGCGGAAAAGGAGGAGGGAGGAAAGGGGGAAAAAAAAAAAAAAAAAAAAAAAAAGAAGGGGGGGCAGCGTTTAAATCCCTGCCCCCCGCTCCTCGCCGCCTCCATTCCTCCCTTCATTCGACCTCCCCTCAGGAGCCGCCGGTGAGTCCCTCGCCCGCTCCCAGCCGCTCCCGCCCCGCTTGTCATTGTCGCCCACTCGCTGCATTCTTTCTCGGCTTGATTTTAGCTCTCCGGTCCGTCTGTCGGGATGGGGAGCGAGGCGGCGCGGACGGGGGGGGGGGGGAAACACCAAAGTTGGGGGGGGCAGGAGGGGCGAGAGTGCGATTAACCCCCGCGGCGCTGGGGAAGGGTCCCCGGCGGTCCCTGCCCCGGCGTGGGTGCGGCGAGGGGCCGGGAAGGAGCCGGGACAGCGCCGCGGGGCACGGGGGCTCGGCGGGGCGGGGGTCCCGGCCGCGGCTGGGGGCGCTCCGGCATCGCCGGGGGGCGCTGCCCGGCCGGGGCTCGGCCGCGCTGGACGGCGGCGCGGCGCCTTCCCTCCGGAACGGGGGGCGGGGGTCGCGCGGGGCTCCGCGCCCGCCGCGGGGGTCCCGGGGCGGGGACGCCCCCCGCCGCGCGCCCGGCGTGACGTCAGCGCCCGCGAGCCCCCCTTCCCTGCGGCGGGAAGTTCGGCGGGGGCAGGGGCGCGCGGGCCCGGGGGGCGCGGCGGGCGGGAGTTGCGAGTTCGCGGCCCGGCGCTGCAGGGGACCGGCTCCCGCCCAGCCTGCCTTCGGCGGGAGGGGGCTCGTATTGTCCCCGCTTCCCCAGGTGCGGCCGGGGAGCGGGCAGGAGGAGCTGGGAATAACGTTTCCATCGGGGGCCGAGAAGAGTGTCGGCTCCCCCCGCCGCGGCTGCAGCGGACGCGGGTGGGATCCGCCGCTCACCCCTGTCCCCTCCCCTGGCACGCCGGGGCGCCGCTTGGGGACCGGGGCACTGGCGAGACCCCGTAGTGGGGTGGCTGGGTGGCATCGAGGTGGCGGCTGCGCTCCTCTTGAACCGGCCGAGGCCCCTCGGCGTGTCCGGCTGGTTGTCCATTTGTTATTCAGGATTCCTGAAGAAGTGGCATCTGCGTTTCCCACATTGCCCTTTTGACTATGCCATGGAGCCGGTGGCCGGCTGGGCTGCTGTTGCCCAGCGAATTGCCGGCTGTATTTTGCCGAGTGGCCGCCGTGCTGTTGAAGTGGCAGCCATTTGGTCACCGTGGCATTACTTTGCACACTGCCTTTGCTAGCCGCGGAGTTGTGCCTTGGTAGCTATTGTACATTCCCGAAGTTGCTCTCCAGATGGGCAGTGTCTTTCCTTGCGTTTGCCTCAGTGCCGCGGCTGCCTTGAGTTCCGCAGCCGATTCCTCATTTGCCAGGATGGCTACTGTAAGAATTTGTAGGGCTTTTGTCTGCAGGGTCTGTTTTTTGCTGGGCTGTGCCTTGGGAAGCAGCATGTCTTTACCGAGCTCGGCACTCGAATCTGTTGTCATTATTTCTGGTTGTACTGGGTGGATTGCATAGGAGCCGCTATGCTTTTCAGCCTTAAAAAAGTGAGAAGAAAGTAGTGGGCCATTATCCTATGAGGTGTAGCAGGAGAGCGAAGGAGAAGTTGCAAATGCCATTCATTTTGTGTCCACCTGAGTGCTGGAGCATGGTTACACACCCTTCAGGTGTGTGCTGCCTAAAGCTGCAGAGTTCAGCTTTGACTTCCCACTAGAGAATCCCACAGCTGTCTGAGTTGAAGGCTGGACTCCCTCACCTTCTAAGCCCGAGGGTGTTGTGAATCGCTGCTGTGCTCTACACAGATTCCCAAGGGGCTGGAGCTCCACGGTCATTACCCGTGGATGGGACACTTGTAAATGTGAATGATCAAATTGTTCATTTGGAATTATTTTCGTTCTCTTTTGCCCCGTTTCTTGGCCAAGTTGTTAATGTTATTTTGTCTCTGTCATTAATGATGGCACAACCAATCATTTGTGTATTTCCCCAACTTCTTAGGAATGACCTGATCTTTCAAATCAGACTTTTTCAGTTATGATTCATGATGGAGCTTTTCAAGCATAGTCAAAGAATGAACTTGTAGTACCATGGTTCTTGCTGGAAATTATAAAAAAGCTCCAAACATTTGAAAATTAAATGTGCAGTGAATCTTAATGAACAAGATAAACAGGTTTAACCTGCTGCAGTGACCTGCCTTTACCTCTCTTCATATGCATTTACCTCCTCCCCTGGATTTTGTACCCCTTGGTTACCTCGGAAAGATTCTTGCATTCTCACCTTTAGGTTTACCTGAACAAAGAATGACAATGATGTTTCTTGTGGGTGTACATATATTCCAAAATTATAATGATCATGCAAGGAACTATGATTCTATAGCATGGTGAGATTGCTGTACTAAAAGCAGCCTGATCTGTATTGTTCTTCAAGAGGAGGAGGAGCATCTAGTCCAGTCAGACTCGATGATCATTGTAGGTCCCTTCCAACTGAAATGCTTCATCCTGATTCTATTTGTGGGTGAAATGCATCAGGCAGGTTTTTCTCTTCCCAAAGTCCAGCCCCTGTCACTCCTCGTATGCCTTCCCAGTTTGTCCTGGAGCTCTCTCATGTTCATCAGCGATTTTCTTAGGGATGGAGGTGGAGTTGAGAGGACCAATCCATGTGGAATACAGAGCTGTGTAGGGAAGGTTTATTTATTTAAAAGGTCTGGGGTGTAATATGTTTGCAAATGCAATCTCTGGAATTGGTCTATGCATATGTTCAGCTGTGCCCCTCCTTAAATACCTACCTGAATGTTTGTCCATCTTATACTACTCCTCCTTGTATAATGCATTTTCTTCTGAGAACCTGCTTTTCTCTTCTGTCAGACTTAATCTTCCCCAGTTCATTTCTTTCTCCCAATCTCTTTGGGACAAATAAACTATTTTCTTGCCTTCATTGGATTTTCTGGTCTCATTCTTCCTCCATTAGGAGATGCTTTGGAAGTATGACATATATTTCTTGTGCTTTATCTATCACTTTATGTCTTCCATCTGTTCTTCTTGAAGACTACGTCTAGTGAAGTACAAAATAGTAGTGCTTTACAAACTTCTTAAAGGCTGAAGGAGAAGGCAGCACAAGTTCTGACTGTTCAAAAGTGAGGGCATCTCTGAAAAAGTCGTGCTCTTAACCAAGTGAGCTCACCTAGGGTAGGTCAGTAATGATAGATCACCTCGGTACATCACTAATGCCTGTGGTCCCTGCTGGAGTCGGGTCACAGCGGATGGTCTACCATGAACATGAGCATGAGATGCTCCCTCTCAGTGCCTTCCCTGACCTACTGAGGCTCAGCACTGCCCAAGGCTTGTGTTGCCACGCTGGCCAGATGCATGTGCCACTGCTCTTTGTCACGTGGAGATGAGAACTGGAGAATTTTTCTGTCCTTCCAGTCATGTGTTGGGTGGTCGTGGGCCCACAGCCCATGTTGTCAGTGAGGTGTGTATGGAAAATGATGAAACAGAAGGGGATGTTTCCAGTTCAAGTGGCTTGAGCTTCACCTCCCTACCAGTCTGGTTGGCTGTTTGGGCTTCAAATGTTTGGGGGTAAGGATCTGGCCATGTTTTAAGTTTAACAGAAGTCAACTTTGTGAGGAATGGATCCCTTCAGAAGCAGTGCCTAGCTTCCAGCTCTGATAATCCTCCTGCGGAAGTTTCTAACCTTCCGTTTTCTGTGTGTGTTGTGGCAGCAAACACTGATTTGTTGTTGTCTTCTCCTGTAAAAATATCAATGTTTGATTGATTGCTGTGGCAGTATTTTCACCTACAAACCAAAGGCTAACTGCAATATCTTCTCCAGGCAATTTCAGCCAATGATGGTCTGTCTGGGCTTTGCTGAAGAAGGGGAGCTGGTTGCTCTCAATCTTACTTCATGTCTCTTGCCCTGGTGACATTCTTCATCACACAAAGTTTAGCTGGGAAATTTTAGTCTTGTATTTCCCTGCTGTACAATGCACTTGGTGATAGCCTGTTTCTTCCCCAAGGTCTCTCTGCGCTATAGATCACTTAAGTGAAGGTTGCATTTGAGCAGCCTTCTTCTGTTTGGACAGTGAATTGGATTTACTATATGTGTGTGTATATATATATATATATTTATGTGTGTGTATATCACAATACATATGATAGTTTGCATAATATAATATATCTTGTATAAAATATAATGTTACATAGTTATTAAATTTTTTATTGATATATATAGCAGAGTGTACTGGATATAAAGTGTATCCACAGCACAGTATTTTGGATATACTGCTGGCTTTTTCTTTTAGGCAGTGCAACAGATGAAGTGATTTACCTCATAATTATTCAGAGTTTGCCAGACACATAAAGAGGGCCCACCCTCCATGAAGAATGGTTTATCCAGTCATGGTTATCCATCAGGCTTTCCTCATACATTGCTAGAACATTGCTTTTAAAGTCCATTTTCACCCAGAGCTAGGTAGACCTCATCACCTTTTGGCCAAATCCTATGACTACTAATGAGTTTAGTATTGAAAAACCTGTTCTCATCAACTGGCTGGTCTCTGCAGAAAATATTAAGAGCATTTATTTGACAATAGAATAAAACCCTTTAAAAATTTCAGTGATACATGAGATTCCTATGCAAGTTTTTCAAGTGATTGATTTCTCCTGCTTTTCAAATTTTGCACTAGTTCTGTGTTGTATTTGTCTGATGTTAGACAGATCCATTAGATATGGGGGTCTTTGTTGTGTGGGTTAAAGAGCTGTCAGAAATCTTCCTTTGTAGTGCTCATAGGCCATCTTCAAGTCTTGATTTAACATTTTCTCAGGCAAGCTATATTTATTCAGCTTAAGGTTATAAGGGGAAGGAGTTAATCACATTTCTCAGTTTGTCAGCATCCTTTTTGGAGTACACAGGTAAAAAATGGTGTGCACTACTCCCATAATTGCCTTACCAATCCTATGTATAGTCAGGTGAAAATCACCTCTCTTTTCCTGCTCCTGAAGAATATTCCTTTCTCTGTGCACTGGTGGATTTCACTCATTCAAGAAAAGCCTTCTTAGAAGTCTTTTCAGACTTCTGGGATCAGAGATGAGGGATGAGGGCAGCATCATCCCACTTGGTCAGTCCTTGGCCAGTGGACCAAGGAGAATCTGTGGGATCCCAAGCCTAGGAGTGACTCAAAGTTTACCAGTGACTCATATCTGCTGTACTACTGTTCCTCTGCCCATTTCCCTGTCCCTAGTTAGCTTATTTTGTTCTGGATGTGTCTGTCCATCTTCATCCTGTTCACATGCTTGCCCTTGGCACAGGTGGCTCTTGTGATGTCTTTGCTGTCAGTCATGAATCCCTGGAAACAGAGAATCTAAAGGGTGTCCTTAGGGTCAGTGGTTGCAAAGTCATAGAATCATTTAGGTAGGAAGAGACTCCCAGGATCACTGAGTCCAACCATTAATCTAATAATGCCATCTTCTAATCTAATCTAATCTAATCTAATCTAATCTAATCTAATCTAATCTAATCTAATCTAAACCACTCCAATCCAATCCAATCCAATCCAATCCAATCCAATCCAATCCAATCCTGTGCCATTTTCCTTTGATAGTCCTATAGCTTCCAGCTGTTTTCAGTGAAGGACCTGCCATAGCCAGATATGGTTTCTAGCTATTCAGAAAGTGCTCTTGAATGGAACTCTCAATTTTTCCCATCAAAAACATAGAACCTTCTAGCATCCATTATGTCCTTTAATTGGAAATTCTGCAGCCATCTGTTTCAAGAACTACTCTTTCTTTTTGGTTGGTTTTGAACATGTTTCTTTGTAGTGTTGTTGTTTGATGGTCATCAAATTTGTACTGGAAAAGACAGTAAAAAAATTACTTCCTACCTAACCTCTAATTTTCACATATGGCTTAATGGTTCCCAGTTAAATCCTCACTTGAATAACCTTTTCTCTGGACAGAGATGTCTGGCCCACACAGTTGTGCCTCTTCACTGCCCCTTCTAGTTCCTATGGAAGAAGCAGAATTGCACACACATTTCAAAACATGGGAAAGCCATAGGTTTGTGTGGGGGCATAATGATGTTCTCCTCAGGAAATTCTAGCATATAGTTTACTTTCTCCATGGCTGCTGGGTGCCGAGATGCCATTTTCATGGATCTGCCTCTTATATCCAAAGGGTATCACTCGTGAGTTGCACTGGTCAGCTCAGAGCCCAGATAGTCCCTCCAGCTAGCATCCTTTGAGTCTCTGGGCAGCCACCCTGTGATGTCTCTGAGTAGTTTTCTTTGGATTCTTAGCAAAGGGACATCTATGTATCAAAAGAGGGGTGTGAGGTATTACAGCTGAACCTTGGCCCCTAACAGCTCCACAGGTAAGGTGTGCTCAGGTGTTGCAAATAGGGAAGATGCTGCACGTCATAAAATAGTGAGTGTGGGGAGTGTGATGTGTCCTTCCTCTGGATCATGCATCTGTAGGCTCAGTCCCACTTGCAGAAGGTAGAGCCCAGTGTGGTTTCTTTTCCTGATCAACCACTGGGCTCTGCCAGCCTGTATCTCTGAGAGATCTGGAAGCCCTCCTCTAGGGAGACAGAATGATTCTTATGGGATTTTTAAGTAAATCTGTTACATACTTAACAGTCCTTTTACTGTGCCCTCAGGAATTGTTTTACGATTAACATAACCTTCTTTAGTACATCTAACCTTCATTTAGTGAATCAAACTTTATTTTAGGTTGCTTTTGCAAAAATTAATATCTTCTTCTATGCTGTAAATTAAGCTATTGTTAAATGCATGAATGTTTTTATTATTTATTACCTTGCTTTAGCTCTGTTCTTTCACTCTG